ATAGAGAGTTAAACATCGATGAGAGAGAAACATCGATTCAGCTGCTTCCTGCACACTCCCCACTGGGGATGTGCCTGCAACCAAGGTACATGCCCTTGACCAGAATCGAACCTGGGACCCTTCAGTCCGCAGGCCGACACTCTATCCACTTAGCCAAACCGGTTAGCCTTTTTAAAAAGATCACATGAGTTTATTATACTTTTCTCTTCCTTCTACCCATTACTATCCTACCCTCTTCCTCACCCCCACCACCCCCAACACATACAAGCTCATTTGTGCATGTGTTTATAGGCTTTCTGGTGATATGTATAGCATAATATACCAGAACATTGCTACTCAAAATGAGGTCCAAGGATCACCAGCAGCAGCATTGGCATCACCTGGGAGCTTGTCAGAACTATGGGTTCTAGAGCTTTACCCCAGAACTTCTGAATCAGAATATGAATTTTAACAAGAATCCCAGGTGATTTGTATATACATTAAACTTTGAGAAGCAGTGTCCAAGAATACTGCATACCATGATTCAGACTCCTTATTTTTCAAAACGCTGTCAATTCATTCACTGGAAAACCTTTCCCCCTTCCCATTGGAATATACTGCTAATCCTGAGAACTGCTGACGTTTTCAGGAGGTCCTTCCTTTCCCACTTACATAGCTGTGTGAGACTAGATTCTCGTCATATTCTTCTACCAAAGCAACATATTGCAACAGGTCAAATGCTGAAGAATGCAAATATAGGCATACCTCTATTTTTAAAAAATATATATTTATTGATTTAAGAGAGGAAGAGAGAGGGAGGAAAAGATAGAAACATCAATGATGAGAGAGAATCATTGATTGGCTGCATTCTGCATGCCCCTAGTGGGGATCAAGCCCGCAATCTGGGCATGTGCCCTTGGCTGGAATCGAATTTGGGACTTTCAGTCTGCAGGCCAATGCTCTATTCACTGAGCCAAACCAGCTAGGGCTAGGCATGCCTCTTTTTATTGAACTTCACTTTATTGTGCTTTACCGGTGTTGCATGGTTTACTAAGTGAAGGTAAGACCCTCCAACTGCAAAAAGAATACGACTAACTTTATTGCAATACTTGCTTTATTACAGTGTTTGGAACCAAACCCACAGTATCTCCCAGGTATGCCTGTATCTTCTATTTCCCTAGGTCACATCCTTTCAGTTCTCTCTTTATAATCTAAAAATTGGCCCAGGCTCCTGATCAGAATCTGTACTTTCTCCTGACCGATGATGATAATCTAACTCCTCTTAGAAATTTAGTACTGTAGAGCACCTTTCTCAAGGGAGTTTAAATATTAAAAAGAGGAACTGACCTGAGACTAACCAGGACTCGTAAATCCTAGAGCTTTTGATTGTTCCACATATTAGCGTGAGCTAACATCCTACAACTGACCTTGGTAGACTCCTAAGGGGACCCATGGTTGTTGGCTGCCTTTCAACAACAGCTTTTAGTCAGCACTTCCCAGCCATGGAGATTCCAGGCTCTGTTCCTCTTATAGGAGAATCCCTCCCAGGGTTTGCTTCCTCAAATAGGTACAGGTTGGCTGAGTTTTTCAGCCACTGGACAGCTCAGTATTTGAGAGTATTGAGAGGCTGCCCCTTACCATTCCCTTAACACTTATAGCCAAAGGGCAGCTCAAAGCATTTATCTACCTCTGTAGAAATATCTGTAGCTCTCAAGTCCTCTAAAGTCATATAAAAGAAGTAAGCTTATAATACTGCATATTGTTACACCCTTGCTATATTTTCTCCATAGTGCTTACTACCACTATTTAAATCTTATTTTCATACTAGAGTCTCAGTGCATGAAATTCATGCACGAGTAGGGTGCCTAAGCCTGGCTGGCAAGCAGGGCCAATCAGGGCCTCCTGGCTGCTGGCCAGAGCCACTCTTCCCTGGCTACCGGCCTGGGCCTCCCTTTGTTCTGTGCTGCCCCTGGTGGTCAGTGCACGTCATAGCCAGCGATTTGTCTCCCGGTCAAACTCCCAAAGGGGCAATTTGCATATTAGGCTTTTATATATATAAACGTATTGTCTCACCTTCCCCATGACAGCCTCCTTAAGTGACTTTGTCTTGTTTATAGTTGTAGCCTCAGCACCAGGAACAGTGCTTGACATGCTTATGCTCAATACATCTTGGCTTTATGAGTAAAGAACTATACAGAAACAGAGCATCTGATAGACAGTTAACACATTGTATGCGGGAAACGTGTTTACACGTTTTACGTATTTATACGTTCTACCAGTGTAGTAGAGCGTGGGACACGTATTAATACGTTTTTTATAGACTAGCGGTAGAATGCAGGTAACGTATAAATACATAAACTAAAGTTATTGTAATTTTACTGAACGTTGTCATTTGCGCAAAAAATTAGCAAAAATGGCCCGCGCCCTGTTAGGGCGCAATAAAAACTACCCGCAAACAATGTGTTAACTCAAGAGGCTGCATCCAAGGTTAGAAGGTACCTAGAAAGAGCAAGTTATTAGTCTAAGGGCCTAGGCTAGTCTTGGTTCCTAGCATAGGAGTTCATGGCTTTAGTATTATATGGGCCTCAAGTTGACAAATAGACTAGCGGTGAAGGGTAGATACTGAAATGCCAGGCAAAATTCTTTACCCTAGGAGTGGTTCTATCTATTTTTACTGATAACTTAGTGTGGGGGAAACAATATGTTGACAAGTCCTCCGTCTAGTGAGTGGGATATGAGAGATTGGAGCAAGCATTGATATGAAAGATGAAAATAGAGCCCTTAGATTCCATTCTCTGTCTCTGGACTGTTTTCACTGACCCAGCATAAACTGATTGGTATGATTTAAAGATAAATACAGCCCTCTAATTTTTTTCCCCACAAAGCCACACACAGTACTAAATAATACACTGAGTGGCCAGATTATTATGACCGGCCAGATTATTATGACCACCCCATTAGTACTTCATTGACACTTCAAAAATACTGAATATTGAAAACTTCCTAAGCAAATACTCTCAAGGTTTTATTATTATTATTATTATTTGCATAACTAATTCACTTCATTGTACTGATGAGTGGTCGTAATAATCTGGCCACTCAGTTTTATTTTGAGAAACCAAAGGCTGGGAGTGGGAGGTGGACAATGGTCCCCCTGCACTTGAAATTCTCTGCATGGACATTTCCATAGTGAGAACAGGCACTGAGAGATAACTATAACATAGGTCATTTTAGCAATGTGCAGAGAAACCCTGGGCTGTCAGATATAGGAAAAGATGACCTCCCGTGGATAGAAGCTACTAAAAATAATCAATTGTATGTATAGGGCCACACTGTTTTCATCTCATCTCTCTGATACCAGGTGGGTGGATACTCTTGCCTTGCCTTGTCCATCCTTTTCATGACACACACACACACACCTGATCTCACTGGCAAAATTCCAGCGAATGCACTGTACTGGGTTGCATCTTGAGGATACCTGTGAAAATGCAGTCCAAGGCAGATATAAGGGATGCCCTGGAGTATGTTTAGCTAAAGACAAACTAACACCCTAGCCAGTTTGGGTCAGTGGCCTGCGGACTGAAGAGTCCCAAGTTCGATTCCGATCAAGGGCACATGCCCAGGTTGCAGGCTCGACCTGTTAAAATGTCCAGTGCCATTACAATTTCATTTATGCCGGATACCATTATTGAATTGCAGGTTCATTAACTCTCAAATACTATTCCCCACAATCTTCCAACAATTTCAGTTCCACTTTGATTTAGAGATAATGTTTGTGAGTAAATTTTATGTTATTCCATAAACTGTATTCATAATTTTGTTATGGACTAGAAATGAGCACTTAATAAATGAAAAAACAAGATACTGAAAAGACTTCCCATTTATCAATAATGCAAATTTTCACAGGGGCCTGATCATACTTCTCAATTTATATCAATGTGTATTTATTGAACAATCAATATCTATACACCTAACATCTAAATATTTAAGTTGTATAGATAATAATAGAGCAACATTAAAAGAAATAATTTCAGCACTGTACTTATTTTGGTGTTTTTAGGAGTTTACGTGTGTCAGTGGCAAAGAAATAAATACAGGGGTGGACAAAAGCAGGTAAATTACCAGCCATCGTTACCTAAAGATAAATCATAAGAAAGGATACAAAGTAATAAAGAACACAAATAACACAATAATTAATAAATAAAAATACAAGAATAAACCCTGTGTTTTGGTACTCACAAGTGTAAACCTACTTTTGCCCACCCCTGTATGGTTTCTTTTGTCTCTCATGTTAATTTAACATATTAAGCAATGGGATAATATTGTGGAAAGAGCGCCATTTCTATGCCATATTCTAATTTAGTGTCCTTTGGTCCTCTCTAAAATAGTTGTTTTAAGGGTTGAAACTATTCCTACTAATATTGATACGTATCTATAACTACTAAATAAAGGAAAATTGATAATATAGGATACACCAAAATATGGAAGACTTTCTCTTACAAACAAGTTCTTGCATTGCTTTAAATTACTGTTATAGAAGGCATTGTGTGTCCTTTTCTTAAGTTACTTAAAACATAATTATATGCTACCATCATATACTACTAGAGGCTTAGGAGCCGGAAGAATCTAGTTATAGCTTAGTGAAATTCGAACAAAGGCCACTGAGAGCGAAGGCTTTTCCTTTTCTTTCCAGAACTGATTTATCTGACTTTCCCGCTTTAGCATATGGGGATTTGGGGTTATTTCCGGCAAACTCCGCCTCTTCCAAATCTCAGTTCACCGACGCTCCCCTTTGCAGGCTTCAGGGTGGCAGGAAGGTGGGCTCAGGCGCGCGGCTCCCACCGCTTTATACCTTCTTCCTACCCAGGGCCGGGAAGTGACAAAAACGGAAATACGGTGCCTCCGGGGCTGGGCTTGGGGGACTCGTCCCCGCTCTCCCCCCGGCCACTCGCACCTTCCCTCCCCGCACACGGCCAGCTCCTTCCCGCGACCTCCACATCCACCTGCTTTAGTGTCCCGCCCCCAGCCGGCTGCCAATCACAGGCTTCCGCAGGTCCTGTGCTACCAACACACTCTGGTGTTGGCTCCCTGGTTGCGCCCCCTCCAGCTCTGCTTCCCGCCCTTCGTGCTCTTTGTCCAATCACCAGCTACCGAGTGTTCCTTGGTCCCCGCCCCCTCAATCCCGCCTTCCTGAAGTCCCGCCCCTTCCCTTAAACCTGATGAAATCACCTGACACGAGGCTCTCCGCCTGAAAGAAGGCGAGGAGGGGCGTGTGCACGGAGGGGCGGGGCCCGAGGAGAAAAGGGGGGATGCCGGGAGAGGGCGGGGAGAAGGGTTGTCAATCCGATCTCGCGAGAGAGGACGGAAGCCTGTGGGAGTCCGTGGCCTTTAAAGTGCCGTTCAGCCCTTTCCTGCAAGGGTAGTTTGTAAACACGGCGGAGGTCGGGTCTTCCCGGCGACCGAAAGAAGCATGAATTAGTGACTTAGACAGGTGAGTAGTGATGGGGAGAGGGCCGCAGGACCGGAGGCGGTCGGGATACGGAGAAAGCAGGCGCTAACATGGCGACGCCGCTCACCCTGGTCCCCACCCCCCGCTTCCCATCACCTCGGGCGCTCCTGCCTCAGTGCCTGGCCCTCCGGGCGGTTCACGGTGCTGCCACCTCCGCGGCCGCACCGCGTCTGCTGCAGCGCCCGAGCGGCGCGCCGGCCCGTTAGGTAACTGCTCTTGGTCCGTCCGGCCCCTCCCGGCTCGCGCGCTTTCCTAACGAGGAGGAAAAGGGATAACGGCTCCTCTTAGACCCCTCCCCCCCGGTTTATCTTCTTTCGTCGGTTCAGAGGTTCCTGGGCACAGGTCGGAAATGCTCGGGTTTCAGGGAGACGGGCCTCCTCCAGACCTTGGATGCAGCAGGAAGCGGCTTGGCTCGGGCTCCCCGCCCCGGACTCGGAGGCTGAGGGCGGTGGATGCGATGGTGGCGGGGATGGAGCTGAGGGAGGCGCGGCTGGAACAGGGTCAGGGGTTCGCGCTGCTGGGGACGCGCTAGGACAAATGGTACGGAGGACCCTGGAGTTGGAAGTCGGCCTTTTCTCTGCCGGTTCTGCCCTCGCACACTCCCGCTACCCCCACCCCCACTTCTTCCTGGTGGGGCGGGGCTGAGGTGTGGGTGCGTATTGATTATTGTATTCTCCCCCGTCCCCAACCCCTACATTTCACCTCCCTGGATGGACTGCGGAGCTTCTGTTGGGAAATAATCTGTGTTTTGTATTGATGCCCTAGGACTAGAGCCGAGTGTGTGTGACTGTGTGTGTGAGTGTGAATGTGTGTGTGAATGTGAGTGTGAGTGTGTGTGAGTGCGTGTATGTGTGTGTATGTGTGTGTGTGTGAGTGTGAGTGTGTGTGAGTGCGTGTATGTGTGTGTATGTGTGTGTGTGTGAGTGTGAGTGTGTGTGAGTGCGTGTATGTGTGTGTATGTGTGTGTGTGTGAGTGTGAGTGTGTGTGTGACTGTGTGTGTGAATGTGTGTGTGTGTGTGTGTGAGAGAGAGAGAGAGAGAGAGAGTGTGTTCTGTGTTCCTCGTTGAACCGACACTGGAGGAGGAGAGGGTGTAGGAGCTGGGGACTATTTGTGTGCCCTCATGTGGTGTGAAATTGTCCGCGTTTAATGGGGCGTCTTAAAACTGGTGAAGACAAGAACAACACTGAAGTGCATATGATGGAGTAAAAGGGATTACTCCTGATGAATGTTAGGCCTATGGACTCATCCTTAAATTATAGTGTGAAAGCTACAATTTCTTAGGAATTTTAAATCATGGAAACGGTAACAATGCACGAATTTAATGTACATATTTGAAATGAGAACAGAAACTCTTCCTCTGAGCACATGTCCTAGTTGAAGAAATTCATAATCGCTGGCATTGTCAGCAATAGTCTTTCTAGGCATAATCTTTAACCATGTATCCTTGGCCTTTTGTACCAAAGCTGTGAAGGTGAGAAGCTGGTTGAAAGTCAATCCTGCCGAAACGGGTTTGGCTCAGTGGATGGAGCGTGGGCCTGCGGACTGAAAGGTCCCAGGTTCGATTCCAGTCAAGGGCATGTACCTGGGTTTCGGGCACATCCCGGGTGGGAGATGTGCAGGAGGCGGCTGATCGATGTTTCTGACTCTATCTCTCTCCCTTCCTCTCTGTAAAAACTCAATAAAATATATTTTTTTTAAAAAGTCAATCCTATGGGGTTAAGTGCCCTGAAAGACACCTCCAGTAGCAATTATATCTCTTAATGTGTTACACTGACTGAGGAATCCATGGCAAACATTTTTTTTTTTTTCAAAATTGCAGGAACACTGATGTAAAGTATGTTAAAAAATAGAGGATCAAGAAACAGAGTCAAGAAAGTTCATGCATCTTCAGGGCCACCAATTGAATTACAATTAAAAGTCCTAGTCTTTGTAAAGTAATTATGAGAATCTTCCAAATTTATGGTGTATATGTTGCTTTCCTAAAACATGTTTAAGCTTGCTTTGAGAAGATGCTACTGCCATTAAGTTTTTAATTATTTAAAATACAATATTGTGATAATTTCGAATTTAGGTGTTTGTATTTACTGACAAGTAAGGAAGGAGTTTTCAGAAAGAGTCGTTTGCATGTGTTTTTAAGGTACATAAACATGCATTCCAGAAATTCCTGCATTTACTTTTTTACTTGGGAGTATTGGTTTCATGTGTTGTCGTTTTTTAAATATATTTTTATTGATTTTAGAGTGGAAGGGAGAGGGAGAGGGAGATAGAAACATCAATGATGAGAGAGAACCATGGATGGGTTTCTCCTGCACGCCCCCCCACTGGGGATCAAGCCTGCACCCCTGGCATACACCCTGACTGGGAATCTAACGGTGACCTGGTTCATAGGTCAGTGCTCAACCACTGAACCACACTGACTGGGCTGTTTCATGTTTTTAAACTAAGATAACAGTAGAAATGGTTATTATGTCAGCTCTTTAATATTTTGCAGGGATACTTTTTATTAGTATTATACTTCAGGATTTAGAAGCTATATGAATACTAAAACGTTATATGCTATGTATCAAGCGCCTACTACTTAAAACTAGCATTGCCCTAGCTGGTTTGTCTCAGTGGATAGAGGGTCAGTCTGCAGACTGAAGGGTCCCAGGTTTGATTCCAGTCAAGGGCACATGCGGGGGTTTCGGGCTTGATCCCCAGTAGGCAGCGTGCAGGAGGCAGCCAATCATTGATCCTCTCTCATCATTGATGTTTCTCTCTCTCTTCCCTCTCCCTACCTCTCTGAAATCAGTAAAAATATATTTAAAAAATAATAAAATAAAATAAATTTAAAAACTAGCGTTAACTCAAGAAATCATCTATATTTTTTCTACCTAAATTTTTGTATTTTGGAAAAGTTGGATTTCAGTGATTTTTATGTTCTCTGCTGGTATGTTAGATTGTTAGATCAAGTCTGTGGCTCTCACTGTGTCACCCAGGGCAAATAATAGAGTCTCTCATTTAAAAACCAGTGGATAACAAAAATTGGATATGCAACTAATCCTTGTAAAAATCAGTACTTGTTATGTTATTCTCTGTAACTAAAATTATTGTACAAAACCCCAAATTTTCTTTGTTGTAGTCAGTTTAACATAGTATTTCTATATTTAACCTATACTCACCCCTATTCTTTGAGACTAAGAAATTATCTAAAATGCTGCATGTTCCCTTAATTTTTTAATGAGGTAGTAGTGATAGTATTTACCTATTTCTATCTAGGGGTAAACCCCATAAAACATTGTTTTTTTTGTTCTGATTCTTAAGCTCAGGATTAAAAAGTATAGAATAAGATATAGTTTCATAGAAATTTAAGGGAGTTTGTGGATCTTTAAAGTCAGCAACAATTGGAATTGTTTTGCATATATTATTATAAATATATATCATATAATTATATATACATATATACTATTTTCATTTATTCTTTTTAACAACCTTAAAACTGTTGTCTTTACTTACATTTTTAAGTACATTTAGTGATGCTGTTTTTTTCCTTGGCAGTTTGCAGTGGTAGTAAAGTGATTAAAAACTTTCTGTAACAGGAAAGGATGTAAATAAGTAGAATGTTTTGGGGGCAAGGCCTAGTCACCCATCTCTGTATTCTATATCTTAAAAATAGTGGTTCTCACCCATGTTTTCTGTCTTGGTATCTAAGGAATAAAAACACTATCAATACTAGTAGTAGGTTATTACCACAGAGATTCTCAATAAGATTAATGGGGAAAGACAGGGTGGGAATGATAATAATTAGCAAAAGCCATTTGGCAAAATACCAGGTGCATTTTGGCTATTTTGGTAGTATATGGTTACCTTCATGTATAATCAATTAAATTTATAAATATGTTCCCTAAATGTTCTTTAGTTTATCTAACTGAACCTAAACCTTTGTTATTTCAGTTTTATAGCTTTGTGGGAGTTTTTAATTCTACTGTTTGGACTAGTGTGTTTCGTTTTACTTATTGAACATTTATTAGAATAATGTTACTAGAAATCAACTCCAATTTTGCCCTATTAACAGATAATCATTTTCATTTTATTTTTTTGTTAATCTTCACCGGAGGATATTTTTCCCATTGATTTTTTTTTTTTCTTTTTAGAGAGAGAGAGGGCGAGGGAGGGGAGGGAAGGAGGACGGCAAGAAAGGGAAAGACAGAAATATCGATGTCAGAGAGACACATGAATTGGTTGTCTCCCTCACTGGACCAGAGTTGGGGATTGAACGTGCAACCAAAGTATGTGCCCTTGACCAGGAATCAAATCCTCGACCCTTCAGTGGTTCTCCTGCCAGTGCTCTAACAATTCAGCCACACCAGCCAGGGCCTTTTTTTATTATTTTTGTTGCCTTCTAATTTGTGTATGTGTGTTACAGTTTTTACAGAATTATAATACAGAATTTAGTTTTATTTTACTTTTATATCATTAACATTTCCCTATATTATCTAAATTTTATAATATTTAATGATTACATGACATTTACCAAATGACAGTTAAAATGTCCTCAATTTTAAATGCCCAATAGGAAAATAATTATCTTCACTTTTTGCCTACTTTAACAGTGAATTGAGCATCTCTGTCCATGTACTTATTTTGAATTGTTTCCATTGGATACTATTCTCAAATGAGATGTCTAGGTGAGAGGATATAAATGTTTCCCCAGTTGCTAATTTTTTGCTTCCCCAAACATTTGAACAAATTTACACCATCAGAGTATGAATGCATCAGTTTTGTTATAATTTCACCAACTTCACAGTTGTGCTTATTAACAAATAATTACTTAATTAGGAATTATTAATGGGAATAAGTTGCATTACTTAGCAGTTTTAGTTGACCATATCAATCTCTAGTTATTTGTCTACCAGTGATCTATGTGCTGGAACAGATATATTCCATATCTTCAGTCATTTCACTGACTTTTTCTTAAAGATTACTAAAATTTTTGACAGTCTAATAATAATTCTTAAATTTTATGCAGTTTTACATAGATTATATGTGGCATGTCTTATGCTGGTTTGTTTTAATATAATACTTTATGAACTATAAATAGATTTATGAGCTATTAAAATTCATAATGACATTTCCACATAGATAACCTTTGAAATAAAGAATATGCTTATTATATAGCCAAATTGAGTTATTGCTGCCTCCATACATTTTCTGGTACATAGTAAGTATGTAATCAGTGTCTTAGGGAAGTTATTAGGAGCCAGGTTGTCATGGTTCTACCATTGCATCACTTTGAACAAATAATTTCTCTGTGCCTGATTCCTTATCCTTAAGAATAACAATATGTAACTTCTAGCTTGTTGTGATAACTGAAATAATTAACGTATATACAATGTTTGAAACACTGTCAGAAACTTAATGAGTACTCAGTATGTGCTGTGTAATTATTATTGTTAAAGTTCATGCAGAAATAATAATAATCTATCACAGCCCCTCCTGGCACATGTGTGGTGTGACTTGAAGGCAGACATCAACCATCTATTTGGTAGCTTTGGCAATATAGTTGGTTTCCCTAGGAATTTATAATTTGTGATAGAATTTACCACCTTAGCATTTTCGTAAATCCATGTGAGAGGATATATCATCG